AAAGAAAAACACGTTATTAGACAATTTTGGTGTTTTGTTATAATATTGATTACAGAATTTGATTCAAGTATCACCTATGATGGAGCTTTTCTTGTGTCTTCTTAAACACGAAGACATGGTAAAACCAATCACGGAACCTCCAAAACACCATTTTATAGTGTACATTATGCAAGTAACAGTGACCACAAATTGTGCACGTTGAGGAGTTTTAATGGTCCACTCCACAAATGAGTGATGTATGTGGAGCAACTGATTGTACCTGATTTAACAAACTACAAGTTAAACTTCTTGAGTTAGTTAACTGAGTGAAAATTTAAAAACGTACGTTTTCAGGAAAAGCACTTTGCGAATTTTTTCCCCCTTTTTTCAAAACTTTTATTATTTTTTTTATTTCATTAACATTTGAAGTTTCATAAAATGTCCATGGTAAAGCAATATCTTTGGTAGTTTCTTTTTAAAAGAGCATCTTTAGTGGAAAAGCACAAAATCCTGTCACGACCATAACGGACGTTTAAATGAATATTAAAAATAGTTAATATTATTTTTATAACTATGTTTTGCTATAAACTAATTTACTTTTATGACCATTATACAATAAAAAGGTCACTGAGCTTTTGGTATATTTGGTCTTTATAGAAAAAAATAAAAAAACTCAAAAAATTGAAAAAAAGCCAATAAAATCTTTTTAAGTTTGTATAACTCCAAAAAAACTTCCCTGAGACCCGAAAAATCGTTATGTTTGTATAGAGGTGTGCTTATTTTGTGTATAAAACATTAAAATATGACGATATTTTAATTTTTGAAATTTTTATGATAAAAATCATAAACGTTATGGTCAGGGACAAGCGGTACGGTCGTGAATTGTCTGGAATAATCTAAATCTTTCCAACCAATCCTTCAATTATCCTGTTAGTTATAATAAAAATATGTGTTTCAATTGAACTAAACTGTTCAATTTACAATTATATTAAAGTTATTGTCACGACCAAACACACTATAATCCATAAGGCTGGATTGGTCGTGAAAAAACCCGCGATGGTCGTGAAACTTTGGTCGTGAAATTACGTGTTATTTGGCTCTGTTCTGGCGGTAGCCCTGCACCTCATGTTCGAGGATACAAAGTGGACTTCTAGGTTAATCTAGCAATTGAAATATCTTATAAACAAAAATTAACACCATGTCTACTTTATCGAATGACTACGTACGGTCATGGACACACCAAAATTACAAAAAACACAATCTTTCCTTTATTAATCTTGTAATTCCTCCTTTCAACTCGAAACGACCGGCACTACAATCCTGACGTACATCCCGAACTAGTCTCTAAAACCAACTGACTCCATCGACGCCAAGCTTGCCACTGTCGTGCTCCAAAGTTGAAAATTTTTCCCAAATGGTCGTGACGCCAAATCGAGGGACAGACTTATTTTGTCATGATAGTCAGTTTGTAATGACAATAAAATTATAATATGCTCCTTTTTTATAAGTTTAATAACCATTGATGACATAAAAATATGGCTTTATATATTTCGGCATGAATAATTAGTCTAAAAACAGCGTGAAAGTTGGAAAATGTACCCTAGGGACACGTCATGGTCGTGAATTTCGAGACTTTGAAAATACGAAAAAAATACCTAGAACCTATTTAGAACCAAATAAATGTGTGTAACATGTTGCCCCCGTCCCAAAAAATATTAAAACACATAATAATAAACTACAAATCCAGTATCTACGAAGTAAAAGGCCAGGGACATGAAAACGTACGTTTTTAAATTTTCACTCAACTATGACCTGAGGCAGCCCAAAGTCAACACTTTTAGGAAAAGGTAACTCAGTTGAAGGTTTATCAATTAAAACTTACCCCATGAACTTTGGAATTTCATTTTACCTTTACATTCAGTGCTTCCGCTCGCCTTCCCACAACATCACCATGTTGTGTTATCACATCATTCATGTTTATTTCAAATGACATGGCTTAAATTATACTTCAAGTCCCTAGTAAAAATAAATATTTTATTTTCATAATTTTGAATTTGAACTGTTTTTCTTGCCTTTATTTTTAGCTTTGTCAATTGATTTCAGGCTCAGGTTTATACAAGCTTTTTTGGTTCTTTTGACGGCACTTGCCTGATATGACAATCAATTGAGGGGTACAATTGTATAGGCTTTAGTGAACATTGGCTTAATAGCAGCAACTACGATATTTATAACCTTGAAGGTTATAGCCTGGGGAGCATCTTTTGTCGCTCAAGCATTATCCACGGTGGTGTGGCAATTTATATCTCCAATGCTACGGACTTCGAAGTTTTGGATACATCCTCCTTCTGTACTGAACTTCACTTTGAAATATGTGCTGTGAAGCTAATCAACTTTTGGATTATAGTATTATCCCTATACAGATCTCCTGCTGGTGACATGACAATTTTCCTGCAACAATTAACTTGAAGCTACACTGAGTTATTTCACTAAGTTTGAAGCCAAAGTTGTTATGTGTGGTGACTTCAACGTAGATGTGCTTAAGAACGATAGTAATTGTTCACTTCTTCATAATGCGCTTCAGTTAGTCGGTTGTCGATGCACGGTCTGGGAACCTACTCGAGGACCTGCTTGCCTAGATAATGTTGTAACGAATGTGAAACAGTGTATGATTTCGGCGAATGTTGTTAAACTTCCTTTGTCAGATCATCATGTCATTCTTACTGATATGCTCTTTCCCAGTGAAGTTGACAAGAAAAAAGCAACTCGCCCTAATGTTATTGTGAGACCTATAACCTATAACAAAATGGAACTTTTCAAAGAACAGTTAGCCCTTATTAACTGGGAGAGCCTACTCTATAACAAAAATACTAATACAATTTGTACTAGAATTTTTAATGTATTAATTGGTATTATGAGCTGGTGTTTCCCCAGAAGGTCGACAAATCACTTATCTGCTCCTAAGGGTAAATCAGGCATCTGGTATACCCCCCAGCTTGAAGCACAGAAGAACTACGTTATGTCCCTTCCCTGTACATAATAGCAAATAATACCAAGAGTGCTACCGATCGAAGGGCTTACGTAGCAGCAAGAAACTTGTACAAGCAAGCCATTCAAAATGCCAAAAGGGCATCTAACGAGAACTTCATAGAGTCTGCTGCGAACAAGACCAAGGCTGCATGGCAAGTGGTGAGAGATGAACTTCATGCTGCTCCGAGGGAAAGAGAGGTCATCCCCCAGATACGTAACGCCATCCTTTACTCCAGTAACCACAATGGCTGAAGATCTTCTGAGGAATAAAGTGCTAAGTGTAAAGCAGAGCTTTGTGTGGCAAAATGTTGAGCCTAATGCAGTGTTGAAAGTAACCAGCTTGAAGTCATCCAAAACCAAGGATATATATGATATGTCCAATGATCTCTTGAAATACGTTGCAGATGTTGTAATTTTGCCCTTAACTTTGCTTGTTAATTCTTGTTTGAGCGAAGGAATCTTTCCAGACGAATTGAAGTTATCCAAACTCATACCTATCTATAAATCTGGGGATGTAAAGGAGGCAGCCAGTTACAGGCCGATATCTGTGGTTCCCGTCATTGCCAAGGTTGTGGAAGTGGTAATGAAAACTCAGGTTAGTGATACTTTGAATCCAATGGTTTAATTTCTTCTGATCAGTTTGGCTTTAGGCCTAGTATGTCAACGGCCGACGCGGTCGGGGTCCTTGCTTCCTCAGTAATTGAGGGTTTTGAGCGAGGCTTAGCCACTCGAGCTTCGTTATGTGACCTGAGCAAGGCCTTCGACTGCATTGACCGGGACATACTATTGAAAAAACTTGAGTATTATGGGATAGTCGGTCCTCAAATCAAAATTTTTGAATCCTATCTAACAAATAGGCGACAAAAAGTTAGTGTTAAGGGTTCAATGTCAGTCGCTACCCAGGTTGAGTACGGTATACTGCAGGGCTCGGTCCTGGGCCCATTCCTATTTTTGGTTATGGTTAACGACTTGCCTGATAATGTCTCTGATAATGTCATGTTTGCTGATGATGCGACCTTTTTTAGAAGCGAGAAAAATTTTAATGGCCTTTGTTGCACCATGAATGAAGTAGTTCTTAAAGAGGCAGCTGAATGGTATGCAGCTAACAAATTTCTCCTTAACTTGAATAAGACACAGAATATAACTTTCTCTCTAGACGTAAGAGCACCGAAAGAGGCAGATGATGACAGTAGCGTTAAACTTTTAGGTGTCCATCTTGATCCTAAGTTAGTTTGGGATACTCGATACTCATGTTACTAAGGTTTGTTCAATGCTGTCCAAAGTTGTTCACATGTTGCGTCGCCTTAGATTTAGCCTACCTAGTCATTACTTAAGATCTTGTTATTTTGCTTTTTTTCATAGTGTTTTGCTCTATGCTATTTTGTACTGGGGCAATAGTTCAAAAATAAGAGAAGTTTTAGTGATCCAGAAAAAGACTGTGAGGATTTTATTTAATGTAGACCCTGATGAGCACTGTAGGCCCTTGTTCAAACAAGCCAAGATTTTAACTGTGATAAATGTATATATTTTTGTGTGTTTATGTTATGTTAAGAAGAATTTAGATAACCTCACTTTGTCAAACCAAATCCACAACCAATTCACAAGATCTAGTCATCATATTTATAGGCAACATTGTAGGTTAAGTAAAACCCTCAAGTCTTTCAATGTTCTTAGTATTAAATTTGTTTAACAAACTGCCTCATAGCGCAAAAGAAGTTAGTAATAGTAAATTTGAGAGAGTTTTGTCAGATTGGTTAGTGGAAAACCCCATGTATAGTGTTAACGAGTTCTTGAAAATATGACTTTCAACGATTCAATGTTACCATTCTGTGTTAAGGTCTAGGCCTATACATCTGTTTATTTTTAAGTAGGCTAAGATATTTTAAAAATGTGACTTTGCCCATTGCATGTACATGTTTAACGGCAATAAACGATTCTTATTCTTATTCTTATTCTTATTCTTATTAGGTACTAGGTATTGACACTAATGTTACCAGATAGAGACTGCCGTTGAAGTCAGCCACCATGAGTGTACCCTCAGGTGACCAGCAGAACGCAGACAGACAAGTGTCAGAGTCCAGCCCTCCACGACTCAGATCTGACTTGCTCAACAAACACAGCTTTGCACAGATGTTGATCTGCCAAAGTTGAAACACACTACAGTCTTCCATCTTAGCCAACAGGCACACACCGATGGGCATTGATACACTACATCTAAAACACAAATATCATAACATAATGTACACAATGTAACATTTATTCATTAATTAATTTCAATTAATCCAAAGATTGACAAGTATCACACATGTGTTGTGATAAACCAAAATAATTTTTTTGAAGATTTAAGATTCATCAGTTCATTATTTTGAAAAAAGAGGCAAGATTGTGAGCTTAATAGGGACCTAAAGAAAAGTCATGTATTTAACCTAATTTACAATTTAAAAATACACTAGCTATTGGCCCGTCCTACGTACGGGAATGAATTAGTCGATTAAAACTGAATATAATTCAGCACAGATAGTTTACACGCATAAAGAAACATTATGGGCATTATGGCAGTTTTAATAGGGAAAATCATCTTGTAAAATATATCACGTGACCCCTAATTCTTTCATCCGATTATACGATATGCATTTTAAACCCGATAATTTTACCATAAAACCGTGATTGCGTTGATTAAAGCCTTGAAGTAAGATTATTGGTCAATTCACACACACTGGTTACTGGTTTAAAGTAAATTAGCTACACCACCTTCCATTACATAATATAACTTACTTAGTACCATAGCAGGGTGTCTACTACATTCTGGATAAAAAATTCATGGACAATTCCCGTACATTTAAGGACACGTTGCCGTAACCTTTGTCGGTGTCATTAGGCCTACCGAATAATTTTCCTGATTTGTCAAACTGTATTAATCTTGTTATTCACTGTAGTTGTACCAGAGAGAAAAGTAAATAATAATGGATAAGAGTTAAAAATTACAAAATAGAAATTTATTGAAAGTAAACAAACATAGGCCTACCTATACTTTAGGTAAAGCTTTTATAGTGTAACAGCGAAACGCAATCATTTCAATTCAATTCATTTCAAAATCAAACATTGTCTCCTGCGATAGCGACAAATATCTCCATCCGTCACGTAAACTTCATAACATAGCTTATCCGATCCAGGCGGATTAATTTGGCATGATTCGCCCTGGCAAAACGTTAGGTTCTCGACTACTTTTGAAAAAAAATCTTTAATGCATATTGTTACTCAATTCTTAGTACAAAATCAAGGTATGGTAAGCGGCTATAAATAAGCAATAAGCACAGAGTAAGATTATTGTATTTTCATTTGTAAAGTTAATGACACATAGCAATCATTAGTTGTTTATCTTATAGGCTCAATTACATTTTCTTAATATATTTTACAGCTCTTTCAAGAATCAAAATACCCAGGCCTAGACCTAATTATTTAGGAGAGCCTATATAAACTGAGTAACAAACAATGAGGTTATAATAGCAGCAAAGTTACTATCATCATTCTAGTTCATAAGATTTTTGCTTTAGGCATACAACTCAATAAATAAATATATGGGAAACAAAAAACATTGAAAAATGAATAGCCAACAATATAAGACAAAGATACAGAAAATGCAATGACATAATTTGAAACCAAGCAGATAAAACATTAATGCAAACAACAATGCTTGTGGTTTTGTCAATTGAAAGATAAAATGTCCATAAAAAAGGGGTTAACTTACAAAATAAGACTGTAGATTATTTACATGTTTAATATGAAACCATAAACAGTTTTATGGCACTAGGCACTGGCCGGCAAATTGAATCTTCAAGCCGAAAGTACAAGTAAGAAGTGAAATTTAACAGCCATTATAAAGAGGTCCGTGAAGTTGGCGTACCCATATTAGCGTATCCACTTTTGATCATACCAATCGTTAGTTCATCGTTAGTTCTCGATAGTTCCCAAATCTTTTCGTTAGTTCTCAAAAAATAAAAAAGTTATAGCCGATTATAAGTGGGTACGCTAACTTCACACTTCCGGGTTCTAGCACGGGCCGTATTCTGAGGAGAAATGTTTACATCTATATACCAATCGTTAGTTCTTCGTTAGTTCTCGATAGTTCCCAAATTTTTTCGTTAGTTTTAAAAAAATTAAAAAGTTATGAGGCATACAAAGTGGGTACGCTAACTTCACAATTGTACAATTTCCAGCGGGAACAGTTTTTTTACTATAAATGCCTATATCTATATACCAATCGTTAGTTCTTCGTTAGTTCTCGATAGTTCTCCAATATTTACGTTAGTTCTCAAAAAATAAAAAAGTTATGAGGCATACAAAGTGGGTACGCTAACTTCACAACTATACAATTCCAGCGGGCACCGTTTTCTGACTATTAATGCTTATATCTATACACCAATCGTTAGTTCTTCGTTAGTTCTCGATAGTTCTCCAATATTTACGTTAGTTCTCAAAAAATAAAAAAGATAAGAGGCAAACAAAGTGGGTACGCCAACTTCACAATTATAGAATTTCCAGCGGGCACAGTTTTTTTTACTATAAATGCCTATATCTATATACCAATCGTTAGTTCTTCGTTAGTTCTCGATAGTTCTCCAATATTTACGTTAGTTCTCAAAAAATAAAAAAGCTACGAGGCATACAAAGTGGGTACGCTAACTTCACAACTATACAATTTCCATCGGGCACCGATTTCTGACTATAAATGATTATATCTATATACCAATCGTTAGTTCTTTGTTAGTTCTCGATAGTTCTCCAATATTTACGTTAGTTCTAAAAAAATAAAAAAGCTACGAGGCATACAAAGTGAGTACGCTGACTTCAAAATTAAAAAATTTCCAGCGGGCACCGTTTTCCGACTAAAAACGCTTATATCTATATGCCAATTTTTAGTTCCATGCACTGTAATTTGATTCATCTTCACATAATGAAAATCAAAGTAACACTGACATTAGAATAACTATCACATTATGATTCTCTGGAAGAGAAAGGATTGCTTATCAGTTCCAGGATAGCGCTTATCTGTGATATCCACAATAGTAGTTGCAGGTGTCACTCGGTTAGATTATTTTTTAGGAGTGATAATTTTGATTACGGTATCAAAATGATTAACAGTTGAATATGTTCAGTTAATTAGAACATCCAAAAAAGACAACGCTTCCAAAAATTGGTTTTAGATAAGCAATGAAATCATATTTATACCTACTTAGTTGTGTGAAAAAGTGCATTTTATAAAAAGTCCATCATGGAAACAAAATAAACTATCCATCAAAATGAAAACCAGAGTCTGCTAAGTAAAATGGTATAAAGTAATTTATAAGCAGTGATTATTTGAATTGTACTAAGCAGATAAAATATGTACGATCAAAGAACTTCTGTTTGGTTAATTGAACTAATCGTTTGTATTGTTTGTATTTGTTTGTGTTCGGTATTAGTATTATAAAATTACATCATTAAACGTAACACGTAACGAGTGACAGTTGCACGGATCGAGACTGGAAGGTCATACGGAATTGAACAAACTGGAGACTGGAGTGGTGGATGGAATAAATGTGTACAACACATTACTAGCATGGCGTATTAGGTATAGCGGGGACGAGACAATATTTATTTAGTTGTATAGTAGTATACTGTAAGCATATTTCGTTGAATGAAGGTGCGCGCTGGAAATCAGAAGTATTAAATAAGTTTATTTATTCATTACTGGCTATACGTCTATTTATTTAATTTTTTTAGAACCAACAAAAAAATCGGTGAGCTATGAAGATCTTACGATTAATATTAGGATATAGGCACTTTTAGTCAGACAAGGGTGCACGCTAGGAATGATTTGGGTGTAAGGTTGGCATAACCACGTTTAAGACCTTATTGCCTTTTTATTTTTTAAGAACTAGTAATAATATTGGGGAACTAACAAGTAATAACGAAGAACTAAAAATTGGCAAATAGATATAATCGTTTTTATAAATTCCTATATCTATATACCAATCGTTAGTTCTTCGTTAGTTCTCGATAGTTCTCCAATATTTACGTTAGTTCTAAAAAAAAAAAAAAAGATAAGAGGCAAACAAAGTGGGTACGCCAACTTTACAATTATAGAATTTCCAGCGGGCACAGTTTTTTACTATAAATGCCTATATCTATATACCAATCGTTAGTTCTTCGTTAGTTCTCGATAGTTCTCCAATATTTACGTTAGTTCTCAAAAAATAAAAAAGTTATGAGGCATACAAAGTGGGTACGCTAACTTTACAACCATACAATTTCCTGCGGGCACCGTTTTCTGACTATAAATGCTTATATACACCAATTGTTAGTTCTTCGTTAGTTCTCGATAGTTCTCCAATATTTGCGTTAGTTCTCAAAAAGTAAAAAAGTTACGAAGCATAAAAAGTGGGTACGCCAACTTCACAATTATAGAATTTCCAGCGGGCACAGTTTTCTGACTATAAATGCTTATATCTATATACCAATCGTTAGTCCTTCGTTAGTTCTCGATAGTTCTGTAATATTTACGTTAGTTCTCAAAAAAATAAAAAAGTTACGAGGCGTACAAAGTGAGTACGCTGACTTCAAAATTATAAAATTTCCAGCGGGCACCGTTTTCTGACTAAAAACGATTATATCTATTTGCCAATTTTTAGTTCTTCGTTATTACTTGTTAGTTCCCCAATATTATTACTAGTTCTTAAAAAATAAAAAGGCAATAAGGTCTTAAACATGGTTATGCCAACCTTACACCCAAATCATTCCTAGCGTGCACCCTTGTCTGACTAAAAGTGCCTATATCCTAATATTAATCGTAAGATCTTCATAGCTCACCGATTTTTTTGTTAGTTCTAAAAAAATTAAATAAATAGACGTATAGCCAGTAATGAATAAATAAACTTATTTAATACTTCTGATTTCCAGCGCGCACCTTCATTCAACGAAATATGCTTACAGTATACTACTATACAACTAAATAAATATTGTCTCGTCCCCGCTATACCTAATACGCCATGCTAGTAATGTGTTGTACACATTTATTCCATCCACCACTCCAGTCTCCAGTTTGTTCAAGTCCGTATGACCTTCCAGTCTCGATCCGTGCAACTGTCACTCGTTACGTGTTACGTTTAATGATGTAATTTTATAATACTAATACCGAACACAAACAAATACAAACAATACAAACGATTAGTTCA